AGAAGGCGCGGGCCTTCTTTGTAGATGTAAGGCCGGCGCCTTCTAAGAAGCAGCCTCCTTCTAAGAAGCCGTCCCCCCCTCCCCCTACCCCCTTGTGCGCGCCGCCAACAAGTTTCGAGGTCCCAGAGGGAGCTCCACCGAAGGCCCCATTGGCGCCCGCATGGCGGCGGCACACCCCTCACACGCTTCGTGGCCCCATAAGGGGCTAGACCGAAAGCCCCAGTGGCAGCGCGCATGGCCGCTCCGCCCCATTTCGGCACACCTCTCACACTCCGTGGCCCCAGAAGGAGATCCACCGAAGGCGATGCCCACAACGATTGCATCCGCAACTGCATATGGTTGGGTCCTTCCGCAGGCTTTCTTTTTGTTGCTCAGCTGATTTCCGCGTTCTATGTTTTTGTTTCGCTTCCGACCGCTCAAGACGGCCCAGGAGGTATCCAAGACGGCCCAAGAGGCCCCCAAGTCGGTCCAAGAGGGCGGCAAGACGGCGTATGAGGCCCCCAGAGAGGGCCCAAGAGGTTCCAAGAGGACCCCAGGGGCCCAAGAGGAAAGCGAATAGGCTTTGGGAGCCTCTCAAAAAGGAATTGCCCCAAGAGGCCCCCAGAGGCCCGCAACTCACACCCCAAAAGGCCCCAACAAGGCCCAAGCAGATCTGAAGAGGCCCCTATTACCTGGTGACGTACCCAACCCATCTGCAATCCGTGATCATAACAATGGGCCCGTTGTATACGGATGATGTCATGGACGCGATTTATCATGATAGCTACAATGGAGCCTCCGCGTTGCATGCCTCAGACCTCCCAGGAAACCGCGAAAATGGCAACCGTTGAGCACTTGGCAGCTCCAGTGGACACCCCAGGAGCTCACGAAAGTGGTGATAGTTGGCAGCACACAGAGAGGGCGAGTCTCGATTGGATTCATGTGGGACACCACTCGGCTGGACCCCCCAGGGGCCCACGAAAGTGTCGACAAGTTCGTTGTCTGCAGCACCCAGGGAGGGCGAAGTTTCATTATGATCTGCGTAAGACGTCAATGCGCTGGACCCCCCAGGGGAGCTCACGAAGGTGGCGACGGTTTTGCAGTTCGCAGTGCCTACGAGGGCCAGGTCTCATTCTGACCTGCGAAAGACGTCACTCTGTTGGACCCCCCAGGAGCCCACAAAAGTGTCGACAGCTTCGCTGCTTGCAGTTTCCAGGGAGGGCAAGGTCTCGGTCTGATCTGCGCAAGGCGTCGCTCCGCTGCCCCCCCAAGGAACCTGCGAAAGTGGCGGCAGTTTCGCCGTGCGCAGCACCCAGGGGGGGCGAGGT